AGCAGAGAGCCGGATCAGAAGTCGAGCACCCAGGACTTGAACCAGCACCCATAAGGGATTGCTGGCATTGCAGGCAGCAGCTTAACCAGCTACCACACAGTGTTGACCCTAAGGACATTCTTTGGTGTTTTTTTTTTTTTTTTTTAAGATTTTTATTTATTTATTTGACAGGTAGAGTTACAGACAGAGAGAGAGACAGAGAGAAAGGTCTTCCTTCCATTGGTTCACCCTCCAAATGGCTGTCACAGCCGGAGCTACGCCGATCTGAAGCCAGGAGCCAGGTGCTTCCTCCTGGTCTCCCTTGCGGGTGCAGGGGCTCAAACACCTGGGCCATCCTCCACTGCCTTCCCAGGCCACAGCAGAGAGCTGGACTGGAAGAGGAGCAACCGGGAGTAGAACCTGGCGCCAATATGGGGTGCCGGTGCCGCAGGCAGAGGATTAACCAAGTGAGCCACAGTGCTGGCCCTTAAGGACATTCTTAACCAGATGTATTTTTTGCAGGAGGGGCTGAGTGTACCACCATGAGGAGGAGTATGAGCACTGGTGTGTTTGTTGCCAGCAGTGGGACCGGCCATCAGAGCTGATGCCAGTGGGAGAAGAAAGAGGCTTCTTAATTTATTACTACGAAAATATTTTTGACATCATGGCCCTCCCTGAGAGCCTTAGAGAACTGTTGCACAGCGAATACCTCAAAGTGTCTGTCTGAATGGTTTTGTGAAAGCTGGGTTGTTACCATGGGCTGTGATGTCCCAGTCAGCAGCCTTCTGGCCAGGACACGGGGAAGATGGGGCCCAAACATAAGACCTCTGGGGGCCAGTGCTGTGGCGCAGAAGGTTAATCCTTTGCCTGCAACGCCTACATCCCATATTCTTGCTGGTTCTAGTCCCAGCTGCTCCTCTTCTGATTCAGCTCTCTGCTGTGGCCTGGGAAAGCAGTGGAAGATCTTGGCTTCGGATTTGCTCAGCTCTGGCCATAGCAGCCATTTGGGAAGTGAACCAGCAGATGGAAGCCCTTTCTCTCTGTCTCTCCCTCTCACTATCTGTAACTCTACTTCTCAAAAATAAAAAATAAAAATAAAATATTAAAAGACTTTTGAAGCAGCCTTGGAGAAGTTGCTACCTCATGTCTGTAGCTGCTGGTAATGACCAGGGATGTCAGGGCCCTGTAAATTAGGTCACAGTATCTGTGTCTTTGCATCACTTTTGGTATATATGAAGAGATGCTTTTTTGAGATTCAAGGTCTTCCTTTAAAATATAACCTTTGTCCTACTGTGCTGACCATGTAATCTTTAAAATACAAATATTTATTGAGTACCCAGACACTTCCTCTAGTGCCCCATATGAGCATTGTATCTGCAAAGCCTGCAGTTAGAGAAACATTATTCAGTGGCCCAGAGATCATCCAAAGCAAGATCCTAAACTGTGGATAAACCCAGCCTGTTCCCAGGGTGGAGTCAGGTGTCATTGTAGCTATTTTGAGTATAACATTAAAGTATTACATGTATAATATAATGTATATGATATATAATATACATATACTGTATTATAGTATGTGCATACAAACTATAATTTATAAAATAGTTAAATTATGAATAATTATTGTACTATGTTTATGAAACCACACATATCTGTTAGTATTTTTTAAATACCATTTTATTTAGCTTCATAACAATCCAAAGTCCCAGTTCACAGTTTTAACTCCATTTGCACTTGCTCCTTTTCTTGGTATGTTTCTTATACATTTACTGCATTCTCCCTAACAACTCCTCATGTTTTGGCAGGGAACATGCTTGCTAACTAAGGATGCGAGGAGCTTGAGTTGAGAGAATGACACCTACCTTTGGTTTAATTGGATTAGAAATCAGGGATACAGGCTCATTGTCACCTTAGAGGATGGGACAGACAGAGCTTTATGTTGGCACTGGTACAGACATTTGGCACGGTTTCAAAATGAAGAAAATTTGACATTCTGACAAATTTCCTAATCCTCTTAAAGGATCATTCCTTTCACAACCAGTGAAACCAGTTTGTTCTCTCTGCAGGTAGAGTTCACTGGGGTATGAAAGAACCCAGCCAAAAGATGGGCACCGCGTCTCCTTGCCTGGGAGCTGCTTTCTGGGGAGATTTCCTTACTTATCTTCCTTCCTCTTGTAGCAATGAATCCTTTTGAATGTCGCATGGTGTAATGCCAGACCTTTATCCATGAGGTTTTTAAAGAAGTCCGCAAATCCACTGACACTGTTAAGGTTTCCATTGAGGGTGTGACTTTGGTTTTACATTGTTTCATGTGGAGGCCCATCTGGGTGGCTCCGCCCACTTTCAGCTCTGAGCCCCTTCCTCACTCCAGAGGGAGAGACTGAGATGACAATGGTTCAGTCTTCAGACCCAGCAGTAGTAAGGACTTCTTCTGTAACAGAGCCTTAGCAAGACATTTTCATTTGTTGAGACCTAAGCTCAGTTTTAAAGCCAAAATGAAACCTTTCCCTGTGGGCATTCCCTTCCATGCATTAGCCACAGTCAAGTGCTGGAAACAGGCCAGCTGAAGAGGAGGTGACACGGCAGTGGAGTGCAGGCGTTATCCTGATGTTTGTTTTCTCTTTTTTCCTCCCTAACTCCCAAATGTATTCCTGTTAATAATTAAAATTAAATAGCAATAATATTGGTAGGATGCTACTTTTAAAATATTCTAATATTCGTAGCAGGCATTGCGTTAAGATGCTACTTGGGAAGCCCACATCTCATATCAAGAGTGTGTAAAGTTTGTGTCTCAGCTCCACTCCCAGTTCCAGCTTCCTGTTAATGGGTACCCTGCAAGGCAGCAGTGATGACCCAAGTGACTGGGTTCCTGCTATGTGTGTAGAAATGGATTGAGTTCCAGACTCCTGACTTCAGCCTGGCTCGGTTTTGGGCATTTGCCAAGGGAGCCAGTAGATGTACAGTCTCTCTTTCTGCTTTGCAAATAAATACAAATAAAATTTAAGAAACTTAAAAAATATATTCTAATATCAGTGTATTCAGCTCTGCAAGTTTCAGACTGGGACTTTGCTTCCACTAGAGGCACTGGTAGAGTCACGTCAGATTGGGGAGATTGAGCTCTCCGTCTGTGGGCCCTTGGAAGGCTGTGGAACTTGCTCATCAACTAGGCAGGGTGCAGTGAGGGGGGAAAAGGTGTTTTCCCACCACATTTGAGCCATTTGCTTTGGAAAGGTAAAAAGAGCAGCTCAGGTTCATGGTCCCTTAAATGTAAAGTGGCAGAGGCTGGGTGTGTTTCAGAATTTGAAAATTTTCATATTTTAGAAGGGTAATAAGATGCATGTGCATACAGTAATGTTCCCAGCGGGCGGGATCTGGGGCAGCACCCCACAATCAGACACATTAATATTTATACAGAGGAAAATATGAATATTCACACAACAAAATAAATTAAAAGTACTAATGTCGGCCTCATATCAAGTTTTGCTGCCAAATGTGTTTGCTTAAATTCAGTTTTTACCTTTAAATTTCAGAATTGCAAATAAGGAGTTGTGGACATATGTTGCAGTGATAGAAGTAGAGGAAGACATGCCTGGTTGAGTGCTGGTGGTATTTAATGGAGCCGAATCACAGCGCTCTGAGCAAGTTAACTTTGTCTTCCATTCTCTCACCTCTTTGCTTATCAGTCAAACAGTGGTAGTGATTGTCATGTGAGCTGTTGTGAGGATAACAAGTTAATGTTGGGGCAGGCCTAACTATACTGCTTGGTACCCAGGCATCCAATATCAGAGTGCCTGGATTCACTTCTTAGCTCTCCTTCCACACCCAACTTCCTACTAATGTGTACCCTGGGAGGCAGCAGTGATAACATTAAGTGGTTGGTCCCTGCCACCCACATGGGAGCAGTTTGAGTTCTGGACTTCTGGCTTTGCCTGGCTCAGCCTTAGCTGTCCCAGGCTTTGGGACAAAAAGAGGTCTGTCCTCACCCCCACCCCCACCCCCACCCCCTCCTTCTCCTTCTGCCTGGGTCTCTGTATGTGTTTCTCCATGTCTCTCTATGTGTCTCTCTGTTCTTCAAATAAGTAAGAATTTTAAAAAACAAGTTAATATTCATTAAATACTGGACATAGTGTTTGGCACATAGATACTCAATAAATGTTAGCTATTAAAATCCCACCTCTCTTTTTCACTCTGGAAATAGAAGTGATGTGAATTGTGCTGATGTCACTGAGAATTCAGAGTGCATTTTTATACTGAAAGCTGATTGTTAAATGACTAGCAGACCACCTTAAAGTTTGCTTGCACAGTGACGTTTGCAGTGCGTGTGCTAGATCATAATTCTCTTGCTTCACTTTGTATTGGAGGAAGGAACATATATTTGTCCCCAGCTGGTTTGCCATTTTGTAGCTCCTTTTAAAGTTTCTCCCCATGTACTTATTCAGAAAAATATTTGACAAAGAAGTTTGTCCAAGTATGTTGTTGGTATTGGCTCTAGCAAAGGTATAACCAGTGTTTGTATTTTAAAATATTGAAAGAACAATGTTGGGAAACAGCTGTTTTTAATTTTATACCCCCCCCACCCCATTCAAGGACATTAACGGACTTTTTAGTGCAAAACAACTTATTTTAATGTATGTTTTCTTAAGTGGGCCTCTTTTTAAATTGTTAAGTCCTTGCTTTTTTGAAGGGGAAGTCATTGGAAAAGAACTGCCTTTTGTTGCCAGGCTGTTTTTGAGAGCCTTGTTTTGAGCTTTTGTAATCCATTAACGGAAATGTCTTCAAGTATCAGCATCAGTTCTCCTGATGTATGGTCTTGACATTCAGGAAGTGTTCATTCCTTTTTTTGAACATCACAGATGCTTGCTCCACAGTGTGTTTGGGATCAGAGAATGAATTAGAAGAACTTGAGGGGAAGAAAGGTGTTAGCTATTTGCTGGGCAGATCCCCCAGGGCTCACTGCCATTGAGTGCTGGGTACAGCATGGACCTGCTCGTGTTTTACGTGCGTTGTGTTGCCTGCCTTCACAGCTGAACTATCAGCAGAAAGTGGGCATCATGTACTGCAAAGCCGGACAGAGCACTGAGGAAGAGATGTACAACAACGAAGCCGCCGGCCCAGCCTTTGAGGAATTCCTTCAGCTGCTGGGAGAACGAGTTCGGCTCAAAGGATTTGAGAAGTATCGTGCACAGCTTGACACCAAAAGTAAGAAATACTCAGAGCTTCCTCCTGGGCTTGTTTTCCTCCTGCTGTGTTGATGTGCATCTGCTAAATTATCGGTGAAACAGCATTGCCATTTATTGCAGATAACTGCTGCAGCTGGGGAGAGAAAAGCCAAAGAAAGCAGCTGTAGCACCAGAACAGCCGAAGATCATGATCAAAGTAGCAGAGACTGGGCTGTGAGCAAAGGATGCTCTCAGACGTGTGGCTAGAGCCAGGGCCATGGACGCAGATGGAGAATTGCTCTAGGATACCATTGCTTACATTTCCTTACGTTTAGGTGCTGTTGGAGTCAACTGTTATTGTCCGTAATCTCCAAAAACGTAGATAACTTAGCTTTAGTATTTGGCTCATATAATGTGTTGATGAAAAGTACAGGAATGAAGCAATCTGTTTAACTAGGGCACATGACCGGGCAGGGCTGTCCTCTCACCCTCCCCAAGTTGTCAGTAAAATAGTCAAGTTCTCAACTTGCTGTTTTCCTTAGGGGATGTGGATGTCTGCTGCATGTCTTTTTGGAGGCCATTTTCAATTTTATTTCAAAATCCATCCATGGACACCTGTGGCCTGTTTTCCTTTGAGAGGGCTTCTGGATTAGCACATCTGTACTGCAGTCTATAGTGATCTTTCTGATTTTCTGTACAGGAAATTAAATAAGGAATTGAGTCATGAAAACAGAAAAGCATTCATAAACTCCACTGCAGGAAGAATTTCCTGTTGCCATGGTTTTGCTGTTGCCAACTTGGAAACGACATGCAGGAGAGACTATTAAAACCCATAAATAGCCTAGCCTCTGAAATATTATTTTAACATTCTGTACTCTGTTTGCAACTGCATGAAATGCTAAATCTCAAAACACCCTTAATCTCTTTATAAAGGTATTCACCCTGTACAATCATTCTTGTTACTCTAATTTGTTCTGCTGCGTAGATCATCATCACATAAAACTACTGATGGGATCTGAGAGGAGAATGTACAGTAAGACCCCTGATTCTATAAATGAACAGCAGTGTTGGTAGTTGATAAGATAGTGTGTTGCTTGTGTGTTTATACCTTCCCAGCTACCTCCTGATGATGGAAGAAAATGTGAAAAATATATGGCCAGGATGGGGTTAAACAGTATGGCATATGGTAAATCAGTGGAATAAGCAAAAAGCATTTTGGGCCCATTTTGCCCCAATATCCCAAAACTGCAAAGTATGAACAAGAATTAGCAAACTACCTCTAACTGCGCTGTTTTAGAAAAGGGTACATTTTCAGTGAGCCACTCTTCTATAAGCAGTATAACTTTTTGAGTCTTGTCTATTTTTTTTAAGATTTATTTATTTTATTTGAAGGGTAGAGTTAGAGAAAGAGAGATCTTCTATCCACTGGTTCATCCTCCAAATGGCCACAACAGCTAGGGCTGGGCCAGACCAAAGCTAGAAACCTCTTTTGGGTCTCCCACTTGGTTCAGGGGCTCAAGCACTGAGGCTGTCTTCTGCCTCTTTCCCAGGTACATCAGCAAGGATCAGAAGTGGAGCAGCCAGAAATTGAACTGGCGCTTATATGGGATGCTGGCATTACAAGAGGTGGCTTTACCCACTGTGTCGCAGTGCTGGCCACCTAACTAACCTGGGGCACATGTCCTGATAATTCATCTGTTCCTTTTCTGTCCTTTCATGGTGTCGTGTGCCTGGAAGTGGATGGATGAATGAAGAGTTGAAAGGTGTTATCTCTTTATACCCAAGAGAATAGGGGCAAAAACTAGAGGAGTCCATTGGCCTTGTCACAGAAACTCAAGAAACAGTTGACGGCAGGCCTGTTCACTATTCCAGCAGCCTCTTTCTGGCTGTGGCCACCCAGAGATAAGGCCTTTGCTGTGCGCTGCAACATTGTCTCCACATTTTAACTAACTTTATTTTGCACCAAGAAACTTTCTTTCAATATAACCTCTAAAAAGAAAAAGCTTTTGGGGCCAGTGATTTGATGTGGCTCCCGCATCCCACATGGGAACCAGTTCAAGTCCCAACTGCTCTTCTTCTGATCTAGCTCTGTGCTAATGGCGTGGGAAAGCAGTGGAAGATGGCCTAAGTACTTGGACCCCTGTATCTGCATGGGAGACCAGGATGAAACTCCTGACTCCTGGCTTCAGCGTGGCCCAGCCCTTGCCATGTGGCCATTTGGGGAGTGAACCAACAGATGGAAGCTCGCTCTGTCTCTGTCTCTCTGTAACTCTGCCTTTCAAATAAAGAAATAAATCTTTAAAAAATAATAAATAAGAAACTTTCTAGAACAATTGTTCCTAAAGTATCATCCCCACAGTAGATGTGACTTCATTTGTAGCTCCCGTCAAACTAAAATAACTTACCATTATTTACTTTTTTTTTTCTTCTATTCTGCCTTACTTCCTTCTGACTCTCCAACCACAGATAGACCACATCACTCACCAGGGTACCACAGGTGAAGAGTCTGAGTTCTTTTTTTTGAGGGGTGGGGCCAGGTTTCAATCTTTGTCTCTGTCCTTCACTTTGGGTAATCCCTATTAAGATGTCTGTATGGGGTGGGCATTGTGGTGTAGCAGGTTAAGCTGCCATTTGGAACACTGGGTTCCATATATGAGTGCTGGATCAAGTCCTGGCTGCTCTGCTTCTTGGCCAGCTTCCCATCTACTGCATCCTGGGAGGCAGCAGGTGACGGCTCAAGTGCTTGGACCTTGGGAGACCAGGAAGGAATTTTGGATTCCTTGCTTAGCCCTAGCTGCTTTTGTGGGAATTTGAGTTGTGAACCAGCAGGTGGAAAATAATTCTCTATCTTTATCTCTCTCTCTTCTCTCTTCTCTCTTTCTCCCACTTCCCCTCCCCCTTCTCACTTGCTCTTTGTCTCCCTTGGTGGGGAAAACAGATACAACACAAATATGTCTTCAGCTTCATTATGTTCTTTGTCTTCCATATTGCCTTATTCTGTTAATCCTATCTAATGAAATTGCTATTTAAGATAATGTTATTTGCGTGGCCAGAAGTTGTGTTTACTAATCTTTTATGTCTCGTGTTCTCTTTTCATTTGTTCATGATTCCCTTTAAACTCTGAACATCTTTATAGCAGATGCTTTGAAGTCCTCATCTGCTGCTTCCATCATCCTGTTTTTTTGGGTTTCTATTTTTTAATGCATTTTCTTGTGCTTTGGCTTATGTTTTACTTCTTTTTATTTATGACTTTATTAAATATTGAATGTTGTGAATACTTCATTTGTTTTTTATTCTTTATTTACATAAAGGGAACAAATTTCATATATATCACGTATACAGACTTAAGGGGCTTAATGATGCTTCCCACCCTACCCTCCCTTCTCCACTTGTGTCTCCTTCCTTTCTTATTTTTCCTTTAATTGTTACAATGACATAGTTTCAATTTAGTTTATAATCACAAGCTTAACTGTACACTAAGAATTCAATAGATAGTAAGTAGAAAAATCACTGTTCCTCAAGAACTATGAAAAATAATAAAATAAATAATGTCAATTTTGCTCATATACACAACATTTTTTGTACTCTGTATATTAGATACCACAAATCCAGGATATTTGTCTTTTTGAGACTGGCTTATTTCACTAAGCATAATGGTCTCTGATTGCACCCATTTTTTTTTTTTTTTTTTTTAGAAAGGATTTCATTCTGTTTTGTGACTGAGTACTATTCCATCATGTGTATATACCACAGTTTCTTTGTCTAGTCATCAGTTGATAGTCATTTGGGTTGAGTCAATATCTTAGCTATTTTGAATTGTGCTGCTGTAAACATGGGGGTACAGATAACTTTCATATGCTGATTTAATTTCCTTTGGGTGTATTCCCAGGAGTGGGATGGCTGGGTCATATGATACATCTATTTCAGATTTCTGAGAATTCTCCATTCTGTCTTCCACAGTGGTTGTACTAGTTTACATTCCTACCAACAGTGTTCTAGGGTACCTTTTTTTCCACATCCTTACCAACATTTATTATTTTTCAATTTTTAGATAATAGCCATTCTGACTAGGGTGATGATTTTATTTGCAGCTCCCTGATGGCTTGTGATCCTGAGCATCTTTTCATGTGTCTGCTGGCCATTTGTATTTCATTCTTTGAAATATGCCTGTTCATGTCCTTTGCCCACTTCTTTAGTAGATTGTTTTATTTTTATTGAATTTCTTGAGCTCCTTGTATATCCTGGATATTAATTCTTTATGAAATGTATAGTTTGCAAATATTTTCTCCCATTCTATTGGTTGCCTCTTTGCTTTGTCATTATCTTTGCTTTACAGAAGCTTCTTAGTTTGATGTAATTCCATTTGTCTATTTTTGCCTTCATTGCCTGGGCTTCTGGGGTCTTCTCCAAGAAGTCTTTGCCTATGCCAGTGTCTTGCAGTATTTCCCCTATGTTTTCCTCTAGTAATTTAAATCCTTGATCCCTTGTGAGTTGATGTTTCATAAGGTGCAAGATGGGGATCTTGTTTCATACATCTGCATACGGAGATCAACACCATTTGTTGAAGAATCTTTTCTTTTCTCCAGGGAGTGATTTTCAGCTTGTTTATCAGAGATGAGTTCATTGTACATGTGTGGATTAAGTTCCAGGGTCTCTCACGTGTTCCAATGGTCCACATGTCTGTCTGTGTGCCAGTATCGGCTGTTTTGATTATAGCTGCCCTGTAATATGTCTTGAAAACTGGCATTGTGTTGTCTCCAGCTTTATTTTTATTGTTTGGGATTGCTTTAGCTATTCAGGGTCTCCTGTGATTTCGTATGAGCTTTAGGGTCCTTGTTTTCCAGGTCTTAGAAGAACATCTTTGGTATTTTGATTGGGATTGCATTAAACCTATAAATTTACATTGGGTAGTGTGGGCCATTTTGATTATACGAATTCTTCCAATCCATGAACGTGGAAGATTTTTTCGCGCGTGTGTGTGTGTGTGTTCTGTTTCTATGCTTAATGTTTTATAGTTTTCATTGTAGAGATCATTCACAT